CTCTCTCTCTCTCTCTCTCTCTCTCTCTCTCTCTCTCTCTCTCTCTCACACACACACACACACACACACACACACACACGCCTCCCCAATTATTCTTTTCATGCACGCATCTGCATACAAATAGGGCTCCCTCCGCACACTCGGTGCCACTTGAGGCTGTCGGGAGAAAGCCAGAATCCGTCTTTACGGTGCCCCATCAGGACATCCTGCCTCCTTCGTTCCTCCTTCCCCTGCCACCTCCCCCCAGCCCCCCCAAACACCCACCCACCCACCCACACCCCTCCCCAGATGCCCACGCCGAGCCAACCCCATCCCTTTGCCCCCCCCCCCATAACAAATTAGAAATGTGAGAACTCTCCTTGTTGATCAAAACATAAATTATTCTTCGTAGACAGGGCACCCACGGGCTCCGGAGAGGGTAATTGGTGCCACCTCCAATTCCTTAAAAGGTGAATATCGTAATTGGAAAAGAGGTGTGAGAGGCTCACTCGGCCTCGGAGGAGAAAGGCGGGTGGGGGCTGGGGGTGGCATGAAAGCGTTCATTTTCGCAGCTTGGGAGATGACTATGGCCGTGTTATGGATTCTAATTATCAACACAGCGGGGAAGGGAGGGGACGTCTTGGCTTCGTCCCGGTCTGGGAATCCTTAGTTACCCCCATTGTTCTCCCTGACGGTGCTGCTCAGCTGCTGAAGAGAGGGTGTGTGTGTGTGTGTGTGTGTGTGTGTGTGTGCGTGTGTGTGTGTGTAGGAAAGCCTGTTGGAATTCTTGCTTTGGGGGGTGTTAGGGGCTTGGGCGCCACCCTTATTCGTTCCCCCAGCTTGGGATATTTTAAAATTATTGTGTATTGATGCTGTTTAAGAAAAGGTCCAGCTTCCCTCTCGGTAAGGATTCTGCATGGTTTACAATATAGTCTTAAAAGGCATAAAAAAATATGTATCACTGAACGGCCAAAATGGAGCCCAAAGTTAATGAGCTCACAGAACAGTCTTCCTCCTCCTCCTCCTCCTCCTTCTCTTCTCCAACACTCCACAAACCCCATTCCCTTGTAACACTGATGGTGTTACCTAGTCAGGTAATAAAACGTCTGCAAGAAAACCACCAAGCTCAGAGAACACTAAGAACTACAGTCCTCCTCCTCCTCCTCCTCCTCCTCCTCCTCCTCCTCCTCCTCCTCCTCCTCCTCTTCTCCAACACTCCACAAACCCCATTCCCTTATAACACTGATGGTGTTACCTAGTCAGGTAATAAAAACGTCTGCAAGAAAAACCGCCAGTTCAGACCGCATCAAGGATCCCTAAATCTTCCTTCTCCTCCCCGCCAACTCCACTCCCTTCCAGCACTGATGATGTTACCTAGCTGGGTAACGAAACATCTGCAAGAAATCCACCAAGGATCCCCGTAGCAAAATTGTGCTAGATCAGTAAGGGAATTGCTAAGAGCTGCCAAGAAAAATCTGGTGGTGGGATATTAAAAATGTAGGTAGGCAGTGGGCCAGGAAAGAAAATAAGAGGAGAAGGATATTTTGAGGGAGAAAGATTTTGCAGGTTAGAGCATCAAGAGCCCCAGTGGATTTGCATCACATCAGGTTTAGTTCAAAAACTTGTCCCAGGGGCATAATAACTGATGGCTCTCTTCAGGGAGTAGAACATCCAGGTGTTCATATCAAAAAGGTTGTCCTCCTTTGGGAGATGCACCTGAAGGCAGGACAAAAAAAAACAATGGATGCAGCCTAGAAATAAGGAGAACTTCCCTGATCGAGAGAAGAATTAACCCGTGGTACAACCTGCCTCTTGAAGTTGTGGGTTCTCCCACACCGGAGGTTTTCAAGAAGAGATCGGACATCCATTTGTCTGGAACGGTATAGGGTTTCCGGCCTAAACAGGGGGGGTTGGACTAGAAGACCTCCAAGGTCCCTTCCAACTCTTTTAATCCTGAGATGGACAGATTCCCATCTGGTTTGGTGAGCTGGGAGCCGGGTTGGCTTTTCATAAACAAGCGAACCCACACGCTTTTTTTGTGCGCTTAGATAACCAGCAAACCCACCGTGTTTTGTCCTGCAAATGTTGCCCGCCTGGTTTAAGCTGCTGTTTCAAGACGGCAAGGATGGCTCATCCGCTTTACTCTGTTTTGTGTGTGTGTGTGTATGTGTGTTTTTGTGTGTGTGTGTGTGTGTGTTAATGCCTGAAAGGCAAACGGAGTTGGAGAGGGAGGGACTCCCATGACAGAGAAAAAGAGAGGGAGAGAGAGAGAGAGAGAGAGAGAGAGAGAGAGAGAGAGAGAGAGAGAGAGAGAAAAACGTGTGGATTCATGAACAGGCTTCATCATGTTCCACTTATCCGCCGCACCGCCTCGACGAAATTCGGCAGATGGATGCTTGGTCATGCCGTCGGCGCAGAGGGGTTAACTCCTCGGATTTAGCTTTCCGTCGTTTTCACGAGAGCGTTGACAACACTTTTGCCGTGTTTATTCCCAGGTGTGCCTGCTCCGGCCCAGCGGCTTCCCCGAGCCCTGAGCTTTGGCGGGGGGGGGGGAGGAAGGAGGGGGAGGAAGGGGAACGTCGGATAAAACAGCGCACCTTTCCGGTCGGAGTGCGCATCAAATATTCATGGATATCCCGATTTGCACATTGGGGTTGATGAATGGGCCTGATGTGGACTTGGGGATGCGGGAGAAAAGGCTGTTTTTTGCCGGGGGAATCGGCCGAGGAATTTGTGTCACTTTCCCCTCCTTGTGTGTGCGTGTTTGTGTGTGTGTGTGTGTGTGTGTGTGTGTATACATATATATATATATATATATATATATATATATATATATATATATACATACATAAATACATACATACATACATACACACACATATGGGATCCTTGACTTATGCCCACAATAGATTTTTGCAGCTTAAGCAAGAGAATTAGTTGCTTGAGGGAGTTGCCCTCCACCTTTCATGCCACAGTGGTTAAGCCGGTCCCTGCGGTTGTTAAGCAAATCATGCAGTCATTAAGCGAATCATGCAGTCATTCAGTGAATCGGATCCCCCCCCCCCCAATTGGGTTCCATTTGTCAGGTCGTCTTCAACTTGTGGCCACAATTGAGACCAGAATTTATGTGAGACATTTGTTCAGTGAGTTTTGCTCCATTTTACGACTCCCGTCACCCCCATTGCTGGCGTTGTTCAATGAGCCACACGGTGCTTTAAGTGAATCTGGCTTCCCCGTTGTCTTTGCTGGCCAGAAGGTCGCTAAAGGGGACTCCAGGACCCTGAAACCGTCATATATACGAAACAGTTGACAAGCATCTGAATTTTGATCCTAAACAGGGTGGTCGGTGGGCCGTAAATTCCACGAGGCAGAGCTGACTTCCTTTGGATCCATGCCGGCATATATTGCTCCTAATAAATAACTGGTTGTCTTTTGATGCTGGGCTCACTGTTTAATTAGGGCGTCCGTTGGAACCCTGACAGCAACGGTGTGAAAAACGGTGATATAAGGTCACCTGTTTCAGTGCCGTCGTAACTCTGGAGGGTCACTAAACGAACGGTTATAAGTCGAGGACGCCTGGATAGGAAGGTGCCGTTCTTCTCCAACAAAATGAAACTCAGCAGTGCTGACTTAAGCAAGTTGCAGGCACGGAAGACCTTTGAAACTCCGGTCTCCCTGGAATGGAACTGGCGCCATGAAAAGCACATTTCATTCCTTTCTGGTTCAGCGGGTGGGGCAAACGTAGGGGAAAAAAAAGTAGCTGATTCAGAGATCAGGCCGAGCGTTGGGGCAAACGTAAAATTGGTTGGGGGCTCACTCTAGGGCAGAGAGCCCCCACCCCCCCAACCTTTAGGGCACCAGGGACTGGTTCCGTGGAGAGAGGTTTTTTCCGTGGACCGGAGGAGACGTGGTTGTGTGTGCTGCTTGCATCTTACACATGGGGCTTTGTTTGTTTGTGCAGCCCGGTTTCTGGCATGCCACAGATCAGTGGCAGTCCAAAACCCCAGAGTTCTAGAGGATTGGAGCTTAAAACATATGAAGAAGGGTTGCTGGAACTGGGTATGTCTAGTCTGACGAAAAGAAGGACTAAGGGCTGACAGGATAGCAGTCTTCCAATATCTGAGGGGCTGCCCCAAAGAAGAAGCTGTTTTCCAAAGCCACCAGAAGGCAGAACAAGAAACAGTCGAGGGAAACTAATCAAGGCGAGAAGCAACCTAGAAATAAGGCGAAATTTGAGCATAATTAAACAGTGGAACAATTTGCCTTCACACATTGTGATTGCCTCCCTCACTGGAGGTTTTTAAGAAAAAGACTAGAGAGCCATTTGTCTGAAATGGTATAGAGTTGCTTGCTTGAGCAGAAGGTTGGCTAGAAGACCTCAAAGGTCCCTTCCAACCCTGTTATTATTAAGTAATAGTTGAAAGATTATCAAAAGGAGATCCAACCTAGAACCAAGAAGAAATTTCCAGACACTGAGAACAATTCATCCGTGGAATGACTTCTCTCCGGAAACCGTGGATGCTCCAACACTTTTAAGAAGAGATTGGACAGCCATTCGTCTGAAATGGTCTAGGGTTTCCTGCCTGAGGGGGTTGGGGGGGGCGGGTTGGACTAGTAGACCTCTAAGGGCCCTTCCAACTCTGCTCTTCGGTTAGTTTCTCCACACTTTTGGTCTTTCACTTGGAAATTCATCTCTTTTTCTTCTCCTCCTCCTCCCTGTTTCCTTAGCACCTTTGGAGAGCTGAAGACAGTCCGCCTGCCGAAGAAAATGTTCGGATCGGGAACGCATCGCGGCTTCGGCTTTGTGGATTTCCTGACCAAGCAGGATGCCAAGGTGAGCGAACTCTTCTGCATGCATTCCCCCACCCCACCCCTTTGATACAGGATGGTCCTCGGCTTACAACCGCAACTGAGCTCAAAATGTCTGGGGCTAAGCAAGGCGGCTGTGAAATACGTTTTGCCCCAGTTGTTAAGTGAGTCCTGCGGCCGCATTAAGGCGGACTCAGCGAGAGAATTGGATTCGCGAAACAACCTCACGATTCACTTAAAATAATTACAGGGATTTTTTTTCTGCACAATCGGGAGGTACCAAGGCACTTAAAATCGAGCCCGGCTCACTTAAAAAAACTTTGGATGCTTAGCAAAACTTTGGTTCCTATTTGTGAAGGTTGCAGTATCCAATTGTCGTCTGAGGCCGAGGAGTCGCCGTATGTCTGCACATGTTCTTACAATTTGTGAAATATCCTACACTAGTATTTTCCCCAAAAGGCAGGCAGCCCTGAGTCTCATCTGCATACTTTACCATATTCATAGCAAATCCAAGATGACCCATTTTTAAAGTATCCTTCCCTTCCGTATAATTACACCATACAGGCGAAGGGAATTTTGAGAGCATCAAACAGCCCTTCAGATATATTTTCCCAATTCCCAACAGGAAGCTATTTATCGTAGAAACCGTATTTTTATTCTGGGGACTAACAGAAGAGAAATATTCAAGCAAAAACATAATCTTTCTCAGGATGCTGGAATTAAAGAGAGCCATGTCTAATATCTCAGCTCCCAAATAACCAGGATAAAATGTCAGTGGAGATCCTCAGTCATCCAGATCATGGTTGTCCCAAAGAGGCTATTTTTTTTCAAAAGGCAACTGCGCTTCCTTGTGTTTTTTTTTTGAAGATGTTTTACTTCTCATCCAAGCAGCTTCTTCGGCTCTGGGTGGATGATAGTCATTGACCGGCTGTTTGCAAGGAGTATCAATCCTTCCCTTCCCCACCATCCAGTCCAGAGCTGAAGAAGCTGCTTGGATGAGAAGCAAAACGTCTTCAAACAAAAAAAAACCAGAAAGTCCAGTTGGCCTCTTGAAAAAATAAAAAGCGCCTTTGGGACAAGCAGGTTAAAATGTTTCACAGAGCAGCCGTGACCATATATAGACCAGGTTGGTGTCATGCGCAGGAAGTCCCTGACTTATCACCAAAATTAGGGCCAGAATTTCTGATGTTAAAGTAGATGATTAATTGCGTGATACCCAATTTTATCTCAAGTTTTGATAACCGCTGTTAAGTGAATCAGGAAGTCGTTAAATGAATCTGGCTTCACCCGTTGACTGGCAAATAGTGATCACATGAGCCTGCAACCCTCATAAGTTGTCAAGTGCCCAAATTTTGATCACATGACTGTTGCTGTTGTTGTCCTTTCGACCAAATCAAGGATTAGCCGTAAAAGCATCAAGCCTGCAGGCTTTATCTTAGATACAATTAAACTGTGGTTTGTTTGATTTTGGCTCTTTGTGTTAGTTGGGGCTGAGCTGATGACTTCAACCAACCACTTGTGGGTTTGTTTTTGTTTCTTAAAACCCTGGTCTATAGCTTTCTGTGTGATTTGCACAAACCTATTCGACTATGGTTTGTTTAACGAGTGATGTTTCGTGGGTCCATCATACCGCACAACCAATTGGCCTATTTTTCTGTAGGTTTTCTCACTTTCGTTGAGATTGTAAATTGAAATGCCTCTAAAACTGGGGTTCTTAAATGTTTGGTGTGCCGAGAAAACCCTTTGCGAGTGGTGAAACCCAGAGACCTCAATTAGGCTGAAAAGACATGATAGATAGATAGATAGATAGATAGATAGATAGATAGATAGATAGATGATAGATAGATAGATAGATAGATAGATGTAGTTGATAGAGATAGAGATAGATAGAGATTAGATATAGATATAGGTATAGATATAGATAGATATAGATATATAGATAGAGATTAGAGATAGATAGAGAGATAGAGATAGATAGGTGGGGGGGGGGGTCTGCTTCTGGTTTGCACCGGGTCAGCCAAACCGGTAGTTAAGATTCTGTGCAATTAGTCACTGCTCATTTTTCAGCCTGTTTTCCAGGCAGGTTTTTGGCTGTTTTTCGGCCCTAACCCCAAAATAGACTGAAAACGGGCCGAATAGATGGGGCCAGCCAATGGTGAACCCTACTTCTGCTTTTGAGGCGAGTGGCCAGGAGGCGGGGCTGGGTGTGATGCCTACCCAGCCAGAGGACCGGTTGTTAAGTTGTTCAAATCCCACCACTGGGTGGATAGATAGATGGATGGATGGATGGATGGATGGACATATGTACATATACATATATGTGTGTATGTATATAAAAACATTATACACACACACACATATGCACACTATAATAAAGTAGGTGTAATATATTGATATCCGTGGTGGAGGGGAAAAGCTGGAATTTCTATTTGCTATTCAAACATTGCATCGGAGAATCCACCCTCAAGTATCTAAAGAGAAGAATACACAGGCACGTAACCGAATGTTGCTTTTTTGGGTAGCTCCTGTTCAAAGCCGTAGTTAGTTTATTGCAATGTCCGTTGTCTTCCTTTTCCCGCAACCGTTCCTGCGGCGCAGAGGGTGCAGGACGGTCTTAAAAAGTCAACTGTTCTTCCCAACAAAACAGAAAACAAAATCCCCTCCAACTAAGGAATGAATCTTCTCCCTTTTGGCAGAAAAGACTCAGCTGTCATGCCTTGGCCATACCCTCTGTATCTGATCACCCTTTTGTTTCGGAGGAAGAATGAGAAATCTATCAACCCCCTAACGCTGTCGACTGTATTGTATCTCACTAATGGTTTTCTCCCTCCGGACTTGCCGGGCTGAAGGATTTAATAGGGCAATGGGGAAAGAGGAGACGGAGTGGCCCCATCCGCCAAATTACAAGCATTTAGATCTGGTGAGCTGGGGCAACCCCGGGGAGGTGACCTCGAAGGCTTCCTTGCTTGATCTACGACGCCCGTCGTGGTAGAACCCCGCCCAACACGCATCTGTGTGTCAGCCCACATGGTCATGAAATCAAGACTCCGGGATCGTTGGCACATGTCAGAGTCTTTGCAGTGTGACTACCATTATGAGAACAACCCAGGAGCAAAACACAGCACACAGAGAACATTTAACACTGGTGGTTTATATACAAGACATTCTTATATAAATACCTTTACAAGCAAGCAAAACTTCTTCTTAAAAAAAGAGAACTCTACAATGAATACTGGACACAAGGAGAGAGGACACGTCCTCTATAATGGCTGCCTTATATAAGCACTTCTTAAGGGGGTAAAACTTCTGTGGACCCGCTCTTAGTCTTCGGAGCTTGGAAGCAAAGTGAAAGAATAAAAGGGGCTTCACCTGTTTTCTGTGTTTGTTTTGTATCCCACCCTGGGTCATCACACTCTTGCTTGAGCAGGTGGTTGGACTAGAAGACCTCCAAGGTCCCTTCCAACTCTGATGTTCTATATTGTATTAGCGTTAGGGTTTGAGTTAACAGGTCATTGGAAGGTAGAAACAGATCAACTGGAGGATTGACAGAATTATTACTAAACTTTGAGCAAGTTTAACCAAACCAAACTCTTCCTTGGGAGATCCTGCCAAATGTTGCTGGTTACCCAGCAGAATTAGCAGCATTATAAGAGAGTGCATTGCTCTGAACAGTGAAAAGATAATTGAGATTAAATGGCATAGGCACTGATACATTAGGTAAATATATACATTGGATTGGCCAGGCATATAATAGCATCTACGGCAGCCAATTGCAAGTGTGAACACCGCACGTCCTTGTGTTGTGAACATTTCTTTCTGGCCTGTTCATTTGCACAAAGAGGATCCAACTTGAGTTATGTAAGATCTTGACAGTCTGGCCCTCAAACCTTGTGAGATGCCGGACAGTTCTGAAATGTCATTCTCCTTGGATTGTATTTTCAAAGCCCAGCAACAATTGAAAGAGTGATTTCAGATTATCAAAACAGACCAATGTCCCATCCTGATCATTTTAGAAGGGTTCCAAATTCCAGACAGCTGTTTCAAAGTTTGTTTTTAATTTAAATTTTTGTTAAGTAAACATTAAAAACCACTGAACACAGTGTGACTTTCTTGGCATTCATTTTTGCCATACATACTATAACCTAGACATATAACAGTTGATCTTTCCTTTTTTACTACGTTGTTAATTTAATGCTGGTTACATATTTGTTTCTATTTGCATTTATATACTGCATTTATATACTATTTACAACCTAGCTTCTTTTCCATCTCTTTTGTAGTCTTTATATTCATATCATATTTGTCCATTATATTTCATTTTCTTTAACTTACAAAACTTTAACTTTCATTCCTATAAAGCGTCAACAATTTCTTCTTTTCCTCGACTCCAGCCACTGATACATTTTACTCCAAACTTCATAGTACTCTGTCCTTAATTTCTAGAATTAGTCTGTCCATCTCTGCACAAACTAATATTTCCCTTATTATTTTGCTGGCTGTTTCAAAGTTCTGAGCTCAGAATATTTGAAACGTTTTGCTCCCCAAATGGAGCCTTTTAGATTTGAAATATAAATGTTTTGCAGTCCCCTAATCGCACAGTGACTCATGGTTGGTAAACATGACGTTGATACGCAAATGGCTTTATTACCCAACTTATAATACTTGCTGGAATAGATAATTTGCTTAGGCTCCCGAGGCTGTGGCTGTTGTAATTATTCATGACATTGAAGCCTGCAGTTGTCAAGTGTGCATTACACAAAGGTTGCACAATTTCACCAGCTCGCTGCCAACCGCTAGGTGGCAGTTTTACGATCTCTGTTAACTTGGGGCTGCCATTAAATTGTAGCAGGAGGAGAACATGGCCAAAGTAATTTGTAAGGGCTCTGTTGGGGTTTGACTTTTGAAACTGAATGCTCCTGAATCTAGTCATTGTCCCAACTGAAAACTGAATCAACTCAGCTTGGTGTGTGTGTGTGTGTGTGTGTGTGTTTAATGAAGGATACAATGCAAACAGTTGATTTCCATGTGACCAGAGCTTTTCTGCACATTCCTGATCAGTGATGTAGTCTTAGCTCTTAGGTTGCTATCCATGGTGCTGAACCTGAATTTTTGTTATCTTATACATATACATACATACATACATACACACACACACACATATATATATATAAATGAAAGACCACCCACACATCATCACAAAATCTCCAGAACTGTAAAGCCTACAAACTTGAAATTTGGCACCTATGTTCCTCTTGGTGCTCACTAAGAAAGGATTTTTTGAAATGACTATCTGAGCATTAGGATTTCCTATATTAATATTAACACGCTCTGATGCTAAGGAGTTCTACTTCCCCTCCCCACCTCAAAAGAAATCTCTTCCAAATGCAAAACACAAGCAGCATTCAAAAATGCTGTTGAAATTATGATGTTTTGAGTTGTAATAATGAAAATATAATCATAATCATAATAATAATAAAAAAAAACAGAACATTTCCATTCAAGGAATCACTGCTTTAAGAGCAGCCAACCCAAACGCTGCAGGAATGGGTTGGCTTCCTTCTTCCCAATCAGGGTGGAATTGTAAAATTTCATCTTTGGCAAAAAGTAATTGGAAAAAATGGCGGGGAAGGGAGAGAAGATAGGGTGGTCTGGGGAGACTTCTCCCTCCCCCTCCTCCTCCTCCTCAGGGTTGAACTGCGGGATCCTTGGTGGTTCTTTGAGCTTGGTGGTTTTGAGTTTACTTATAATGGAACGTCTGCAAGAAAACCACCAAGCTCAGAGAACGCCAAGGATCTCACAATTGTCAATATCTCCTGGCATATTCTTTAAATGGAGCCAAGATTTCACCAGGAATAAGGTGGGATCAGAGTTTTACTTGGCAATGCTTGGATCAGAACCTGGAGGCCCCGAATGATGTTCTGCTAAGAACTTAGTGCTTGGTCACCAACTTTGAGGGTTAAGAGGTCCACGTTTCAACTCATGAGATCTCCAGGTCAGCCTGGAAAAGATCCTTTCTGGAAGAGGACTTTCAAGCGACTAAAAACCAAAGGTTGGCTCAAAACAGGTTTCTTGGACAACTTTCTGAAGAGAGCTCTAAGTTTTCCTTTCCTTGCCCTGCAGAGAGCATTCGGTGCCCTGTGCCATAGTACCCATCTGTACGGCAGGAGGCTGGTGCTGGAGTGGGCAGATTCAGAGGAGACCGTGGAAGCCCTGAGAAGGAAAACGGCAGAGCACTTTCACGGTAAGCACTTGGCCTGAGTTATTCTTTTGTTTCGAATTGTTTGGGGCATTCGAAAAAAAAATGGATGCCCTCTTTTTTTTCTCTCTTCTCCTATTCCTTTTCTTCCCCACTCCTGCTTTTTCTTCTCCTGTTCTCCCTCTCTTTTTCTTTCTCTACCTCCTCTTCCTTTCTTCCCCTTTCCCTCTTTTTGTTCTCCCTCTTCCTCTTCTTCCACTTTTGCTTCTCCTCCTCCTCTTCTTCCGCATCTCCTCCTCTTCATGTTCTTCTTCTTCTTCCTGCTCCTCTTCTTCTTCCACTTTTGCTTTTCCTCCTCCTTTTCCTCTTCCTTTTCTT